ACAATCTACTAAAATAAATGTAAACGTTCTGGAGGCAGGTGTACCAGGGAATATGTGATTGCAGCAGAACAGCATGGGTTACACTTTCCGCTAATTATAACATTAAATAAGCAGTTATCAGGCAAATGAGCGCGAATCGCAGCTTTATGAGGCTCCAAATCAGACGACATAGCCATAATCACGCCTTTTCCCTTATGGTCACACAAAAATGTCATGCCGTACCCGTTGTTCGCAGGACAGGGACATGCTGATCGTTATTCTACCGCTCACACCGAAGCAAAGTGAGGTAAATTCACTGCTCAATAAAATTTGTGGCTAAATGGAAAGCTGTGTTCTCATCTGAATCTAACAGACGCCCTAGTCGTTCAGCACCACGTTCGGGGCGACCTACTGATAAATTTGTCGGTTCAATCGTTAAAGCAAAGAGCACCACACAAAGAATGGTAGCTAGATATCTGCTTGCGTCTGTTGTACGGCTGGTAGAAATAACAAGTCAGATTGAAAGATAGGATTTCATTTTTTTTTGAAGACCACTCATTGAAGGTTACTTTAGTATCGGGGTTCAATAAAGGAAGTGGCTTGTCCGCTACTTGATTAACGTTTCCTCAAATACTGTTTTTATCACGATTATGTACCGTAATATACTCGGATTTTGTACATATTTTTGAAAGATTTTGTAAGTAGGTTAAAGGTTGTCAGATATTATACTGGAGTAAAAAATTTTTATTTGGCTTCCAGCAATAAATTTGGCTTTATAACATCGGTATGGTTAGTTCGACTTCCTTAATATGAATTTGGCTACAAAGCAGTATAACTACGATTAAAACTTGTTCGGTGTTTTCGTCGATAGTTCATGGGTGGAATTGAACTTCCTTCTTGTTTTTATCTGTATCTGACTGTTTCGGTGCTTCTACTTTCGCCATATGCGTTTTACTGCATCGTTGAAAAATCTCGTCCGAGGCTTTATTTGGGTAGCTGAGTGTGACATCATTTAGAAAGTGGGGCTTAAATTTTGGGTTGTTGTACCTCTGAGGCGGATAGTAAGCTTCCGAAATTCTATGGTGGTTTACCTGTCTTGCAAGTTTACCGGAAATACGTACTATGAAGAACTCAGTTAACGAGACAAGGGTATTCAAGGGTTAACGGACATCGTTTAAATTTTAAGAAATTATGTATTTAGAACATCACCATAAATATTGCCCAGTAATTTGGGCCCGTTGTCATTCCCAGAAGGAAACATTGAATTGATTTTCGCACTGTGCCGTGTTCTTTCTGAGAATTTTGTGATGGTTCTGTAGAACACATTGTTGTGTTGTTTTCTTCGTCATCTGAGGTATCACGGTCAAAGGCCCATTACCTAAATTAATGATGTCTGACGCTTTGCCTTCTTCGAATGCTTTAGGCGATGTTCGTTGCTGCAGCAGTTGTCATATTCTTCATCACAAGTAAGTCTGCCTCTGGAGCTGGTTCAGTGTATGATATTGCATCCGACGAGCCAGCGGCCATTTTCTGCTTCCCAGAGGAAAATGGTTTTAGATATGTGTAAATTCTCTCTCCGAATGGTTCTGTCAAACCCAAATGTACGCCGTTCTCTGACTTTTTCCGACAGAATTCTCAATCCCGTCGTTCCAAGGTCTTTTCATTCTTTATTCGATTGAACCATCACACTTTGTGAATGCTCCGCCGACAGTGCCGCTGAAAAGTGTGCAACATCTTTTATTGGCGTTTTAAAACGGTTTTTGTTTCGAGGTTGTACATAAGCGAAAAGCTTGAATGGTAGTCGGTAGAAGATATGACGAGAAATGAAGAGATAAGATTTTCTTTCTAGACGGTTAGATTGTCAGAACCTTTAAAATCTGGTGTGATAATGCTACCCAAACTTTTGAGTCATCATCATTCGTCGGATAGAGCTTAGCTACGCGACAAAGCGTCTGTTATGTTATTCGTCTTAGGCAAGCGGAGGTTCAAAAATCCATTCTATGCCTTCATATCAACTCGTGTATCCTTTCATTTCTTACGCCTTTGTCCCTTATCTTCTTCCCTGGACTTCTCAGAACCGACCTTCGCATCCTGAGCCATACCCTCATGTTGATAACACATAATAAGTGCTTAGAAGTTTGTTTTGTCAAAGAACTAATACCACCCATCCTCAAACCTGGTCTGAAATTTGATACTAGTATTCTTTTCAGCGGACACCATCCTCTACACCCAACTCTACCGACTTGTATATCCGTGCAACCCGGTACAAGATCATAAGTAGTCTACTGTCGGACGGATGGAACTGAGAGGTAATTCAGTCATTACTACCTTGGTTAACATAAAAAGCCCATAGTTGCTTGCTGATAGATGGTTTAAACAGCTGCTTATGTTTCATACCTCTTAACGTGTACTCATGCGTTTCTTTTGTTTTGTTATTCCTTTGTAGCGAAAGATCTGTTGATGTTCCGCATACTCAGAACTAGTAATTTGTTAGTTTTTACTAGTAATTTATCCTGCTACTCGATTGGGCTGCTGAAACACTTGGAACGTGATCTGCTTCGTTTATTCTTTCCAGCCGATGGGGCCTGAAATTCTCATTCTTGTCAGCTCTGCTTTATTTCTGAGATCAACGTTTAATGTGGGCGAAACCAT